TTGTGGTTTTCCAGCTGTACCGTCCGGTGCTCGCTGTTGGTATGTCGGCCGTGTTGCACGGGCTTGTCCGATCTTTTTATATTCCGGTTTCGGTTGCAGTTGTGATGGCAGTGGTGGTGGTGTCTGTTCCGGTGTGTAATCCAGGAAGCCAGCGATCCGGCGAAGGTCGGCGAATGTCGCTGGTCTTTGCAGCCGAATGTGCGTGCGGTATTCGTCTCGCGTTAATCCGGTTATCGTACTGACTAGCTGTGGTTCAGGTAGCCCGGTGTTGATGCGGCGCGCGAKTTGATTTTTTTTAATCACGAATTTCGTCAGCGACTGCGTAGACGTTTGTCTAACCGATACTATCTCAGCCCGCAGTCGGGACTGTATGTCCGCGTTGTCGAACTTTTCTAGAAATTCGGCGCGGAACTCGTCCCAGGTGAGGTCCAGCAACCTGATGGTGTCCCACCATGTACTGGCTGCGCCCTTTAACTGCGGTTCAATAATGTTAGTCCAGCCCGACCTATCTATACGTGACTGGTATAGTATCGATTCCGCCTTATGTATAAACCGCACCGGGTCCTCGGGTGTGGTGCCGTGGAATTCCGGCAGTGAAAATCTTGCTGTGCGTACGTCGTCGTACGGTATCAGTATAGACTGTTGCGGTTCATATGTGTGTGTGAGTGTGGGAGCATCATGATGACACGCCGTGTTTTCGAAACGCACTGACCGGTCGGGTGCGTGTTCGGGTCGTTGATAATCCGTGGCACGCGATTCGCGTGTTGCGGGGTAACTCGTTCCGTGGTCCGTGATGGTCGACGTGTTTGCGTGGTTGTGTGTGTTTATACGAGTGTTATCGGTCGCCGATGTTTCCGGCGTGCTCCGGTGTTGTACTGATAACATCGTGCTGTGAAGGCGGGACGGTGGTGGTACCTCCTGTTTTCGTTCCGGTGTTTGTTGAGACATGCCCATCTCCAAACGTCGCATCGTCTCTGCTATGCGACGCTGGTCGTCACCAAAACGCATCATGCAGCTCTCGAGCATGGCCAGTCGCGACTCCAAACTGTCTGCACGCGTCGGTGTCGTTGTCGATTGCTGCGCCTCCTGCAGTATGCCGCGGGCACTTCTTATTAAGTCCGTGGCTTGTTGGTTGTTTTGTGTGGGCGGCGTGTTGGTGATCCTCTGCGGCTGGTGGGTGTCCGTGTGGTCGTCCGCTGTGGTCTCGGTTGGTCCGACGTGGTGCGTCTGACTCGTGTCCGAGTCACT